GATCTTCTTCGGCATCTTCATGATGGACCTGGACAAGCAGATCCTAGTGATCAACTGGGTCTGGACTGTGAGTCTGCACACACATAACTACATGCACACCCTCTGACACATTTCTGTGCTAAATTGCATAATGCTTCATCTTTTGCTTCCCTCTTTTGTGCAGGATCTGTTCCGTGCTGGGATTGGTGCCGTCCTCTACATCATCACCTCTCTGATCAATTTCATTGGAGGATCTGGGGATGGAGCTCGTATCGCAGGCGCGGTTCGTTAAGCCAGAATGACTCAGCCTGAGTTCTTAGCTGCATACTGCATCCGCTCATATTTATTTCTGTTTATTTTGACAACTGATGGCTGTTACCACTGACTAATTTCGGTGCTGCCAGTTATACATGTGAAAACTGAATGCCTGGTGTAACAAAGGTGTTGTTTTTTTTTGTTTTTTTTTTTAAGCGGAAAAAACCAACAAACCCATTTTAAAGTTGCTTTATCATTAGTTTTTGCCTTTGAGCAGGATACACCTGTAACCTTTAAAAACTTTGCATGCAAGTTGCAGATATGTGGTGTCCTGTCCAGTATGATGTCATGCTTATATCACATGTCACAAGCATGATAGGGACCAGGGACCCTGAATTTGATAAACCTTTAAGAAGATGAGTTATTGTAGTTTTTTGCCACTAGATGTACTGACAACTGTCACTGTATTACTTTGGTCATGAGGTCTGACTGAACATACTGCTGCTCTCACTGAAAACACTCAGTGCAGATTCACAAATCCTCAGATGAACAATGAGCAATTTTGACAAGTCCCTTTGAGTGAGAGAAGTTGATCATGCTCCTAATGACAGTAGATTTTCTGTATGTTAAAGATAAATTTCACATCTTATTTCCCCACCACAACCATCCTCGTGGTATGCTATGTCTACACGTAGTCTTTTGTATTAATCACGTGTTTAGTCCCAAACATGTGCTTTGCAGCTGTATATCAGGCACAAGTCTGTCCCCACATTGGCTTCTTCATGAACCAAAGTGTCTAATAGTGTGAAGAGCACAAAGTCTTCTGGCACTTAACTTTAACAAAATACTGATAATTTATTTAGATTGTATTTGTGTTAGTTGTGATTCTGATTGTCAGTTCTTGCTTCTTAGGTGTTTGGCTTGATCGCCGGGCTGATATTTGCATACGACACCTACACAATCTTCCTCCAAGTCAAAAGTAACAGACAGCACTCAGCAGCTCCAACTGGTGAGAAAAACAGTTTTTGTTAATGCATTCAAAACGCGTTCTTGGCTTTATTTGATATGTGCAATTTTCTCTAATGTCTTGACTGTTTTTGTTTTTAACAGATGGCAGAGTTTAAATGTTCTCACACAGAAATACTTCTGTCAAGAACACAGAAGAACCAAAAGCAGTCATTTGGGCAAAGGTTAACAGAGGAGCGGGTCAGAGAGGAGGATGGACAGTAAAATGAGCAAGTCACAGTTTAATAAATGCTGCTGCATGGCCTGAACAGATAAGAAACAGAAAAGAAGATGACATAGCCTTAATAAGGGGTGCTGGCATCTGTCTGTATGTCTACTCCATGAGGGATTCCCCTCTCAAACTTTTATTCCAACCAGACTAAAAGGGGAAAGCTGCCAATAATAGGGAACACTTTGATTAATGCAGAGAGATTATGAAAGAGCGACCTAGCACTCACAGAATCCTCAACCGATGCTTCTGAGATAATTCCATAACAGCAAAGACGCTGGTGAAGTATAACCTCCTGGGTGATAAAAAGCTTTTTAAAGCATTATTTTGGGGGCAGCAAACTCATAAAGCACTCTTTTTTCCAGGTGTCCCCTTAATCACTGAAATAAGAGTTAATTTTCATAATCCTTTAAAATATCTGTGCCCAATGGTCTTATCAAGATGCCAAATGGCCAGACTTGCTTCTAGGAGGACTTTGGATGATGTCATCATGCAACTTGTCTACTGTTCACTGTTGGACTGCTGTAGTAAATAGTAACTGTGTTATTTGGGCTTCAGAAGCAACTGACACAGAGGTGGTGCTTTTTGAATCGTTTAATATTATAAATGTCTTCTTGGGGGACTTTTTTTGGTACTTTCTCAGCTGGTTACACCTTTGCTTTTCTGTTATTTAATAGTGTTCTGTGTGTTTTACAGTGCCTTAAAAGTCTCATTCAGAGTAACCAGTTCCCTCACCTTCTTCCGTTTCATCTTTTGTTTCTAAGTACTAAAACATTTGATTTCATTTTTATTAATCAGCAGTCTTTGGTCGTTTTTCTTCTAGAATTTTGGAATTTAGGACCCATAGATAGCCCATTAACTAAACAACCTCACTTTTATTATTTAAAATTAGATCATCATCTTCAAGTTTTGCCTACAGCTCTTGGATTCTTGCTCAGGTTATGCATTTTTCTTACGTTTGTAACACATTGTTTTAAGGTGCTACAATATTTTTCTGTAGACTGTATACTGCTCAGTAGCACAGTCCATTTTTTGAACATGCTATGTTAACATTAGGATATGTACTGCGAGTCTTTCCTCAACCCCTTTGGTGTTTTGTTTTTGTTTTTTTTTTCCATCTTAATATGCTTTACAAGAGTCTGTAATTTAAAAGTTCAAAGGGAAATAAAAGCCATTTTACCACAAAGAAGATCAGTTTTCTGGCTTGCTCTGTACACTCATGTGTCCTGCTAAATTATCTTAAAGTGCTTCATTTACAAGTGTATACAGTCATGGTAAAAAGTACACTATCTGTTCCAAGGTATTGCATATCAGGACACCTGGTCCTTGTCAGGTCTATAAAAATTGGGTAAATACAGCACGAGATAAACAAAAAGATGACGTGATATATACAGAAGCAATCCTGAGAAAAACTAAATGCGCTCCCATGATTCAGTCATGGAATGACCTTTACTAGCAATAACTTGACGTAATCATTTTCCGCATGACTTTATGAGTTTCCTCGTTGCTGTGGAGGAATTCTGTCCCGCCCTTCTTTACACTATTGCTTCAGTTCATCGAGGTTTGCAGGTATTCGTTGATGAGCGGCTCTCTTAAGGTCCCACCACAGCATTTCAGTCAGGTTGACGTCAGGACTTTTACTGGGCCATTGCGACACCTTCATTCTTTTCTATTCTTTTGTAGATTTGCTGGTGTACTTCAGGCAATTTTTCTGTTGCATGACCTAATTTGAGCAAAGCCTTAGCTGTTGGACAGATGGCCTCAAATTTAACTCTAGATATTACTTATACAGCAGAGTTCATAGTCAAGTCATTGACTCTAATGTATCCAGGTTTTGTAGCCAACAACCTGATCTAGACCAGCTCAAATCAACACTTCTACAGCGCAATTGGTATGAGGTGTTTGTGTTCAAATGATTTTGTGCCGTGCTTACTTTTTGCATATTGTGGCACTGTGTGTTATGGCCAAACATCTCCACTCTGGACACATCTGTTCAAAGGACTTCCAGAGGTCATGTGGTTTGTTCAGCTGCAACTTTGCAAATCTAAGTCATCCTGTCATGTTCTTTTTTTTTTTTTTTTTTTTTTTGACAGAAGAGGCTTTCTCCCTGCAACCCTTCCAAACAAGCAACATTTATAAATCTTTTTCCTAATTGCACTGTCATGAACTTCAACGTTTAACTGAGACTGAGTCTGAGATGTATTAGTTGGGCATCCACTCCTGGAAAGATTGGCAATTGTCTTGAATATTTTCCACTTGTAAATAATAGTTTTCACTTCGGAATGATATATTTCAAATTGTTTTGAAATGGTCTTATAACTCTTTTCAAACTGTTGGCAATCAAGGAAAGGTCATCAGAGATCAACCCATCAAAATTGATGGGCTGCTTGTCTTGTATTCATTTAATTTTAAGACCTACGAAGGACCAGATTCTTTTCATTAGGACATGAAATGTAAAATCTTGAACGAGGAGGAGGATGCACTTTCTTTTTACCATAACTACATTTTAGATACTGTGTATTTGTACTCTAAACTGTTTTATATTTCACTGCCACTAGATGGAAGCAGTCTGCAACTCTTCTATTGTGAACTGTTTTTCCTTATAAGCCACTACGAAAGTGTAAAACCATCTAATATCAACAAAGTTATGCTGGCGCCCCTTATCAGCAGGGCAATATTCAGATACGATCGGAAATTACTATGATTTGACACAATTCCTGCCAGGATCTGAATGACCTTGTACAGCAAACATCTGTGATCTGTAATCTCGTCTGAGTTTTTTTTCTCTCTCCCCTAAATATTATTATTTTTGCAGTTTGTACATGCTGCCCCTACTCTTCGTTCTGAGATTACAGTGTGTTTATGTAAATCCTTTCCTACTTTGTTTTGAGCTTTGATGCTGCTGCCTTCGAATTGCAATAACCATTTATGACCCGTGTTATTTTAAAGACCTGCAGTGCAATGATAATCCGTTGTTTGGGGTCATGATGTATGTTATCAAACTATTTCCCACTGGAACTCGAGAGTAATATTAACCCCCCACCCTAACCCCATCTGTGTGCATATTTTGTCGCCCCATTAGGAATATTTAATTTGAAGCTAAAGCCAACGTGGCTGACTTCTCTTGTGCTCTGAATGTGCGTATTTTATAAAACAAAATGTCTTGGTAGACTTTACAAAACTTTGCATATATCCATGTCAACTTCCTTGTAGCCAAGGTGAAGTACGGGCCAAAACTTTGGGACAGTCGGCTAGTCTCTGTTGAGCAGGACAGGTAAAGTTGGAGGTTCACCAAGGTTACAGGTTGCGGCAGATCCGTGTCCACACAGTCAAAATAAAAAAAGACACGGCATCAATTTGATTGAACAATGGGTTTCAAAGTGATAAATTGAATAAGTAAAAATGTTAATGAATATTTAGTTAAAGTTTATTCGTTAACGTTGCTTAAATTTTGACTCTGCTCAAGAATCGAGAAGAATATACTTCAGTACCTCTTTTATTTTGAAGTCTCCGCCGGAGGTTGTATTTTACACTTAAGCTAGTTTATCAGTTCGAATGCCAAAACTCCTTCCTTAGTTAGTTAGCAAAGACGGAAAGAAGAATCCGGGGGTAGTCTGCAAGAAACGGCATGTAGTTTACACCAAGCGTGTTACTTACAGTTTTTGTCGCTCGCCGTTGCTTTGCTCTGCTTCTTCACCGGAAAACTGCTTTTAACGTCCAGCCAACATCATGTTCCTGCGCGGATCTAAAAAGCGACGGTCCAACCGCTCGGTAGGTGCCTATTTTATTTTTTGTTTTTCCCGTACATTTATACCTTAATAACTTTCAAGGTCATTTTGAATATCATCATCTTTCAGCACAACGTAGAGTTTGGAGTGATTTAAAGCTTCCGAAGCATTTTCATTGTAAAAGCAGGCGTGAAATGAACTTTTAGTACATTGAAATCCAACGCAGAAAGCAGCCCAAGCGGAACTTCGTCCCACCTTCACCTGGCTTTTGTTTCCCTCCAACATTTTTTTTCCTACGCTCGAAATAGGACAACAAAAAATAGAATCATCTATCTGCCACAGAGTCCCACATTCTTTGTTTCTTGGATCATGTCGAGTGCCTCAGGTGTAGTCAGAATGGTGACTGTGCGTCATCTTTGTACCTGTGCAGGTTAGGATGGGGTAGCTGTTACCTGGACGTGTTTATTACCTTTGTCAAACTTTCATGCTGTGTATTCAATTATGTTGTGGTTGGAATGCTGCTTTATAAAGCAGCCTAAATAGTCAGGAGTTTAGTGACGAGAGAACACCTACGTCTGTTTTGACACGGAACATCTGGCTCCGCATCTCACCTGGACTACGTCAACGTCCAGGTGAGTTCAGTGACTGTAGATCCAGCTACTATTATAACTAACCTATACATTGAAATTAACATAAAAAAGTATAGTATTTCATGTTAATTTGTATAAATACTCCATCGTAACACAAAGCACACACCTGTTCCTACCTGTGCATGTAATAACAGTCCTTAAGAATTAATGAATATCATGAATATTTAATGCAACACTCTCATTACACCAGCATTAGAAAAGTGAGGTTTAACTCATCTTACAGCACCAGTGTTAAACACCTATGTATATATCTTTGGGGTTTTTCCTGCATCTACTGGAAACAGTGTTGGTGACCAAAGAGATTTTGGTCTTCCACTAAAGGACAACCAGCCAGCCCAATATAATTATTTTTAACCATTTTTCAAAAAGGAGTTCAGTTTACTCTTACTAAAGTACAGTTTGCTTGCAAAATGACTACAAATAACAGAAGAAGACATACTTCTGTTAAATAAGGTATCAAAGACTTTTCTTTAACTACATGCAGACCAGTCATGGTTATGCAGTTAGTCACTGGCCCAAAGACCTGTTAAGCCATGAAAAATCCTTATCGTCTAACTTAAACAATTTTTAGACCTATGTGAGGCTCAGTAGGGATGAACTGGCTTTGTAATTCATGCCAGGATGTGAGATTAGAAATGATCTGCAGTTTAATTAAATGTGGTTAAATGGTTATTCATATTCCCCCTTTAGTGGCATGGGTTTCCTCTGGGTTAACTGGTAATTCTAAATTGGTTGATTTAACCATCTGATGGATCGAGGCATACCCCATTCCCAACCTGTTTCAGCTGGGTTAGCAGCCTTTACGACATTGAGCTGGTTAAGCGGTTAAGAAAATTGATGGAAAATTAAACGTCTTCCTTTTCTTGGCAATTGAAATACATTTTAGTCATAAATTGTCATGTAATTTAACAGCACTACACAGACATCTTAATTTATGTTCTGTTGTTTTTCTTGTAAATATTCTTCAAGAAATCTTCTGCGTAAATGTGGTGTAATCGACATTGAAATGTGATAAATAAGCCATAGACTGTAGACTTTGCTCTCCCACAGTGCAGCTTTGAACACATATTTGAACAAAAGCCTTTTGATTTAGGCTGGATTACAAATTTAATTAGTGTACATGATTTGAGAATAGAGACTGTGTACACAGTAAGTAAACAAGGCCCTCAGCAGCGATTTGAAACTCATGATTTCTTTGCCACAGTGTCTCAAATAATATATTTACTGAAGCACTCAAGTGCTGAAGTGATAGATTAGCCTCATTAGATTCAAATATTTCCCATATGGCTCTCAAGTAGATGTAATATGTAAAGGAAAAAAACCCTACTCTGTCGTTCAAGATGGCGATCTCTTATTTTCCCTATTATTGATATAATGAATCTGCAATTTTATCTGCTAAGATATAACCAATTTAATTGTGCTCTCAACTACTTCCCAAATGACAGCTTGACAAATTTGACTGTATGCTTTCTTATGCTACAATTATTTGGGATCTGAGAAGCTGCTGTCATAAGATAATGTGTACTGAACTTGCCTACTTTTTCTAGCAATAAAGATGTAGATGTGGCTATAGCTGAATTTCATTTTACTAAAAAATATTGAAACATAACAGAGGGAAAAGGGGAAGTGTCACAACTAGAAATCCCTTTAGCTGCCTTGGTTTGAGTCTTGGTGCAGTCACTTAATTCATGGTATTAGTAACACATGTGCTTTTTCTACTGTGACTGCAAAATCAGGGTTCAACATAACCCAGCTTGGGCCAAGTAAAATAGTATGTCGGGCAATTTCAGTGGCCTGTTCTGGCCAGTGACTGTGTTTTCACCAATTATAGTTGTACCTGTGAAGCAATGCCTTGATTTGCTAAAAGTTTATAATTAAAGTAAATGTAAGAGGAAAGGAAAGCGGGGTTTGTTACTGTCACAGGTAGCCAGGTGGTTAGCTCGCTAGGTGGAAACTAGCGAGCTAACTTCCTGCTAACTTCTAACTCCGTTAAATTAAATTCTGTTTTCATGGATGCCTGGATGTTAAACTTAATTGTTACACCTGGTAAAGCAGCAACACTGATCAACACTAGCCAGTTTTTACCTCTCAGTGATGCTGTGGTGTTCGTTTGACTTTGAGACCTTAAGGGGACGGAGTTTTGGACCCAGATTACTCCACGAGGCTCCTGACTACGGTAGCCGTAATGCTCAGACAATCCATCAAGCAGTGTGGCTTCGTAGCTTACCAAAGTCATACTAGAACATTTTTTGACAGAATTTTGAGCCCCGTGTACCACATAAAATCAGTTCGAGGTCGGCAAGCACAACCAGAATTCATATATAAGGCACACGGGATTATAAGGCGCACTGTCGATTTTTTTAAAGAATATTAAAGGATTTTAAGTGTGCCTTATAGTGCGGAAAATACGGTAAATGTAGCAGAAAAGTGACAATGGTGCTGCAGGACTTACACACTCACTCACATTTACAACTATAATAATAATGGATTGGATTTATATAGCGCTTTTCAAGGCACCCAAAGCGCTTTACAATGCCACTATTCATTCACTCTCACATTCACACACTGGTGGAGGCAGCTATGGTTGTAGCCACAGCTGCCCTGGGGCAGACTGACAGAAGCAAGGCTGCCATATCGCGCCATCGGCCCCTCTGGCTAACACCAGTAGGCGGTAGGGTAACGTGTCTTGCCCAAGGACACAACGACCAGGACAGAGAGCCCGGGGATCGAACCGGCGACCTTCCGGTTACAGATACGCTTCCCAACCCCCTGAGCCACGGTCGCCCTTAACTATAAGTATATTCATGCAATTAAAACTCAGATCCGCAGGTCCCAGGGGACCAATGTGGGAAGGTGTTATGTTGGACACTGAAAATGTAGAATGTTTGAAGAGAGGAGCGTCCACTTAGCGTGCTAAGACCACAAAGGCCCCCAACCTGTGACCTTTCCTGTTAATGCTTAATCCATCCAACACCTCAGCGTTGAGGTCCAAAACCAACACTTAGTCATTCTCTCTTATGTGGGGAGCCATTTTTTTTCCACTACCTCACTCAGCCTCAGTATGGGCCACATGATATCATTCAGATGTATTATTTATCCTTTCCTTTAAATTATTGCATGTAACCCCTGGTTAGCCAGTGCTGTTGCATGCTGATGCCAGATAACAAAGCTGGCAGTCTTTCAGTTTGTCCATTACCTGGTTACATGCCACGTGATTAAACTTTATACCTACTTAGTGAAAACAAAGGACCTGATATGAAAAGTCTTGACGCCGCTCAAAGTGTGAACACATGATCCGCACCCCCCCGGACTTGTGAATGTATTATTTACTTTACCCACACTCGGTTTAGAAGAAACTTCCTATCACCGCTCCCATCACATCCTTCACTCACAACACAAAAGGAAAACCTCTTTGTCAGGATGCAAACTTGACACTTTATCTGTGGTGGAAGCCTGAAAGAAAACACACACAAAACCTTCAGGTCTGTGTAGCCTTGATAAGACAATATAGAACTGACAGAGGCGTATTCAAGGCTGTGGGATAAAACTGTCAAACTGCAATAAATGCTATTACCTGCTTCATTTAACTGTTGGGGTATCCAATAAGATGTTGGTGCTTTTTTCATCTTTTAATTTAGTTTGAATTTGCAACCATGGCTAATGGCATGGCTAATTTTAACCCTACTGACATGGTTGAATGCATGTTTGGATATGATTCCATGTTCTCCTTTTGGCTCATTTTTAGGTAATTTTAAGCTTTTCTCAGGATTCCTAATCCTTCTTTCTTTATTACGTCACCATTGAGGCAATGCTTAGCGCTTCATTACTGTCTGCACTTAAGTGAGTGAATAGTTATGCTTTAATGTTGACCCTCTAATCTGTTTTGTATAGTTCCAGTAAATCAGTTGATAAATTTCACTGCCTAGGGTGGCCACTTTGATATGTTTCAGTTAGTTTCCAGAGTGGATATGATCACCTAATTTGTATTAGTTAAAATCGTAAGTTTTTGTTTTTATTTGTTTGAATGAAAAAAGAAAGTTCCAAATGGTATAATGTGTGTATTACAGAACTTTGTGAAGGCAGTTCACAAACAGTCATGTCAACATCCCAAGTCTCAATAAAGTTTAAATCATGTGTAATGGGTCTTGACTCAAACACTCACAAAGCATGTGAGTGTTTGAATCAAGCAATCTGCAATTAGTTGTGGCAGATTGCTGTGCCCTCCTGGAGACTCGTTCTGCCACAACTGATTGGGGAGTAAGTTGAAATAGAAGAAAGGAAAGAGTGTGTAGAGAGACAAGGACAAAAAATAAACTATAGGAGAAAGAAGACAAACGTTCATGACATGAAAATTTGAAAAGTTGAGAGAGAGAAGAAGAAATGTTCATTGGTTCATGGAACGTCTCCCAGCAACCTATAGCAGCATAACTAAGAGATGGGGCGGGTTATCAAAACTTTTGATAAAATAAAACCCCCAAATATTTTGTTTATAAACAAAAAGAGACACATGTTCACACTCTGTGGCTTTATATAAACAATCCATAAACTGATTGGAGGATGTAATCACCTTGGTATCATCCATTAGCAGGTTATGGAGCTGAGCGACTTAACCATTTTTTTTAGTGTTATTAAACTGGGCACGACAATATAGGATAGCAACTCTTCAATCATAAGTCAGACCCTTCCTAAAGCATATTCTGGTTAATCGTTTTGTTGTCGTTGTTTTTTTTTTTTCACAATTTCTCAGTAAGACTTAAAACTGAATATTTAAGACATAAGGTCATCGGAAAAGTGTTTACTGAGGTCACAGATCAAAGTTGGAGAGGCACGCTTTTATATACACATTCATGCAACTGCACATGTTTTTGCAACCAGTCACCCAGTGCTGCCCAGTAAACAGACTATGGGTTTCATTCACATCTGCATTGTTCTTGAAAGTTACGTAGACTTAGAGTACAAAATCTCTGTCCAATTTTGTAGTGTTGGCTCTCCATGTCTGTTGTTATTGGGGCTGAGAGACTATAATGTTTGTCAAATTACTTGTGTTACACCTTCAGACAAGTGCAACAAACGTCAAGCATCGGTTTCACTGGTTTCTCTTACGAAAAGTGAAATCCAGTAAGGAGCAAGAAAACATTTTTAAATCTGTTTTCTATTCCTCTGTGATGTTGATGTCACTTCTTAAAATTGGCCAGCTAAGCAGTTTTTTTTGTGCACTGGCACAAGAAACTTTGTTAATCAATTTCTGCTTTGCTTAAAATATCAAAAGGGTGTCTGAATGGAGAGAAATTACAGCGAAAGCATAAACATATAAAGTGTCATTTAATTTCTTAACTCTTTGAATTGAAAAGCAGTAACACCCTGTAGTATCCTGAAGTGTAATCATATCAGGTCAGCTACAATTTCCAAAAGCATTTTTATCCTGCAGCTATTCACTTTCATTCGCTGAAACCTTAATAAATGCAATATGTAGGGCTGTGTTAGATGTACAGACCTTTTTTTTTAGTGTGTGCCTCCAGGGCTCGGTCTGTCACTTTGTCAGTGCGACATCTCAGCCGTTCCTTCCAAAGGAAATAACAACTGAAAGGTTCAGTCACCCAGAAATCATCTGAACGCTTCATTTAACCCGTCTTGTCACTTTTCATACCTGGCTTTGCTAACAGCAGTCCAAGCCAAATTAGCAAGGCAGCGTGGAGTAAAACTGATCCCAGTGTGTGTCATCGTGTTCTTTTTAAATGGCAAAGCTTTAAAAAAGGCATGCAAATTATAACTCATACAGTAGTTCTGGATTAACTAGTTCCCACGAAGCTCTGTGCTGTCATTAGTGAAAATACCTCAATATATCAACCCTAAAAACAGCTACATAACTCCTCAAACCATCTAATTTTTTTAAAATTGAAGCAACTTTTTTTTTAGTTTAAGCCTCTGTGGTTTCTTACTCCACTAATAATATACTTTCAGCCCTCAGATGTCTGTTAGATAAGCGAAGTATCCTGATTACTAGTCAAAGTAATGTGCTGCAGTTTCTGAGATGGCTCATAAATATCTCAGCTTGGGAAAACAGGCTTAACGTGAATAACAATGATTATGTGGTTAGTGTGGCCTGAAAAATAAAGACAGGTGAACAGGCACGCACAGGTACCGTGTTGTATCACATATCTGCATTTTATTACTTCGCTTGTTAAACTCAGTGGTGTTGTTGTTGTTTTTTTTAATGTAGAATTTCAAACCAGTTGTGGCCAAAAAAAGTAAGAATCTCAGCAGAGGGGAAAACACTTAAGTAGCTTCCTTTTTGTTTACCAACCTGGGAAGAACTGTAAGCTTTCCCCTCTGTCAACAGTAAGTTCTTCTCAAATAAGATAGAGGTTGTGTATATTAAAGGACTAGAGAAAAAAAGGTAGAGACAGAGTAACTATACTGAGAGGGAAAGGGTGCAGCTCTCATCCTGTGTCTGCTTCCTTCCTCCCATCTCTAAAAAGAGCTTTGTGTATGCAGTAAAGCTGCAGCAATAGAACTGAGATATGAAGCGGCTGATTTAGTGCTAAGCTGCGGAGTTGCCTTCAGCAATGCTCAGTCAGCATATTTGGCAGGAGGAATATTTGGGATTTAACTACCTGTCATGTATTCCTCCATATATTTCTGCAAAACAAAGAGCTTTGCTTGAACTCACTGTTGAGTTTAATATGTAACTGTGTGGCTGAGCTGAGCTCAAGTAAACAGGTTTTGTAAGGGGATCGTTATGCCAAATTATGGGTATCACTTACCATTGTGTGTGTGTATTTTGTAACCTAGAAAATTAAACACCCACTGCTGCATTGATTAAAAACACAAACAGCTATAAGAATACTTTATTATGTACAGGCATGGCGTACCGGAGCACACAGTATCTACTCAAACTATCAGTGATGTTAGGTTTATGTGCCTTAAGTACAGTGTTAGTACAAATACAGTGTTAAGTACACATCACTGACTGTATATAAAAGATAGACGGGGTGGAGAATAGTGACCATATTTAGGCGAGTGGGTAGAATGCAGTTGTTGGGTAAAGGAAGCAAGCTCATTTAGCAAGCTGAATCCACAGAGCCCAAGACAGTTCTTTAACCAGGCTCTAAACCTGCTTTTTATTGCTTTTAAGTTGGAAGTATTAACATGTAAGTCATAGATGGTATAAATGTAGCCAGTAGGATGTGGCCCAGTGATTTCTTTGACCAAACATTTCAAAACCTCAGTATTAACACTTTGACTGCTGCCATGTTGGTTTCTTTGAGTCAGAAATAACTATATTTTGGAGAAAGGGTGGCGTGCTAAGCTATCAGCTAATGTTAACTAGAATAGAACATAGGCTATTCAAGGGCAACACAGACATCAGTATCTGCTAATTAGTCTGAAATAACTTCTACAAACATGGTTGAAAGGTCGGGTTTATGGCTCATTTACCTGACATGATACATAGACAGCCACAGCCATAGCAAAATCAACATTTTCACCTAAACTTTGAAAATAAAAACTGTCCATATTAGGGATTTCTCGTTAATATAGAAAGCAGTCTTGAAACTCACCCCTAATTCATAGTGCCCAAACCATTTTTATACCTGGCCGTTTTGTTTGCTGCTTTATCTGCACTGACATAACACATGGATATTATGTCTATCTCTGCCACTCCAAGCTTGCAGTATTCGGTAAGGTTTTGGTATAATAGGATGGGGGGTATTAATAAACTGGTTAAGACGAGTAATGACAGCCCACGCTCCCCCCACAAACATGCTAAACTAAAGGCTGAAGTGATTGAATTTAAGCACATTCTGCTTGAGGCTTAGGTGGACTCGTTAGCTCACTCCGGTGTTGATGCTTTTCCTTCATGTCTAGCAAACACTCTATATCCTTATTCTTTTGTGTCTTTTGCCAAAAGGCACAATTGAATCATGTTCCAGTCAGAAATTACGTGAGCTAAAGTGATTTGTGTTTTTATTCAGCAGGAGGAAGAGGATCCAGACAGAGGCCAACCCTGTATGCGCTGCGGCGACCAGTGCCCCGGCTTCCGTGTCCATGGCTGGAGGTATGAACTGTAGGACTCTTAAACACTGACAGCGGTGCCTGTGAGCTTTGCAGGAAATGTTTGTTTCATACCGTAGAGTCATTTTGCCCTGCTGGACTTCAGAAGCAAAACAAAGTATAAAAGCAATGATTTTATGGCTGTTTTTTTTTTTTATGCCACTTTAGCTGGAAACGTGATTTATAGAAACACGACCCCTTAGCTATTTAATTGTTTTGCAAACAAAAAACATGTATGCATTAAAAAGAAAAAAAAGTATGTGTGTGGTGTGCGCGGTCAGTTTGTCAAGTGATAGTCATGGTCAGCGCTAGTGGTCCAAGTGGAGGAGCAGAGGAGTTTAGCAGCCCTTTGCTGCCCGATCCCACCGAGCTAAAGCTATTACAAAAGCTATTGGGGTGTTTATAGCTGCTGGCATGAGGCCGTATTCCTTTGTGCAAAACAAGCGGCTTAAACATATGATGAACGTGCTTTATTATATCCCGTTGCACATCCACTTCAGTGACAAGATCGTTCCAAGCATGTATGAGCAGGAAAAGTGTAACGTTATGGCTGAACTACAGATGGGTGGACCTCGAGGGCAACGGAAAGCTACATAATAATAATGGATTGGATTTATATAGCGCTTTTCTAGGCACCCAAAGCGCTTTACAATACCACTATTCCTCTTTTACTTATTTGTTCAGAGTTGTTAAACACTACCAAAGTCCCTCCTGATGAACAATTCAACCTCCTCTGTCAGGTCTGTTTTTGTGTGCTTTCTTTTGAGCCCGTCTTTCCTTGTCCTCTCTCTTTTAGTCCTTTAGTGTATATCCAGCTGGTGGGGTCTCTGGTTAGTCTAATCCTGTCAATCTTGCTAATAAGATTAGGCCTTACTGCTGTGATAGCAACCCTCTCAACCACTTCAAACCCCCCTCTGTCTCTCCAGTTTCTGCTTTTCAGTGCACTTTTCCTTTTTCAGATGGGACTTCTGTGTTTCATTACGCTTTAATGTATGGAATAAAAACAGAGGCTGCTCCAGCTCGACAAATACTACAAAGCTATGGGTTACTGCTTGTTGTTCACATTATTTCAGAAGTTAAAGATTAAAGAATGAGTCACTTAGAAGGAAACTAGGTGATTCAACTACATTGTGCTGTGTTTGGTGCTTACAGACCCAGAAACTCTTGAGGATGATCACAGGGTTTGACACTGACACACAAGATTTATTCCTGATAATGAAGGCTGCATTTATAACCCCTAATGTGTACTACATGGTTGAGACAAACTGGCCTCGTGATGAGAGAGTAAAACAAAAGGCAGGAATGTGTACTTCATAAAGCCAATAGCCTGTAATTTTATCTTTTTCCTTTTTCAGTTTTCTCTCTATTCGGGTCAAGATAAAAGCTTAGAAGTTAGCACGGAATCTGAAACACGTGTGCCGCACTCTACCATGCACGTTGATCTGTTTACAGTGCATTTAATCTGTGTAGCATTAACAAAATGCTGTAGTTCATTGTTTACGTTTTTTCATTACTCGTTTGGCTGATGGGCAGATCCGAAATGACATTGGGTGAGCTGACAAGGATAAATGTCTTGTTTAGACGTTGTAAGTCTCTTAGGCGATCCAGAAGACTGAAAACATGAAAGTGATTAAATGATTGAGATTTATAGGGGTCAGACTTTAAGACCTCGGAGTCTGGCACTAATTGCATCTGTCTAAATAACCAATTTAAACTCACACCTTTGCTGATGGAGAAGATCTTCCAAGTGACCACAGGCTCAGCTGCTGATGCTCGGTGAGAGGGAAGTGATCCATCTTCATCCTGAGCTTTATCAGGCACAGCTTAAACTGAGGTGGGGGCAGATGGTGCTTCCGCTGCCCAGCAGCAAGTGAATTGAGTTACTTTTGACCCACAGGTCCCCAACACGCTTCAGAAGTGTTCAAAGTCGCCATTGCTATTAGTCTGGGTGGCCATGCGGCAATTACTCTGTCACTAATTAGTGGCAGGGAGTTATGGGAGGAGGCCCATCTGCTTCTTAGAACCAGATCTGTGGAGAGTTCACAGTTCCCTGCTGCAGGTATAGATTATCACACCAGCAGCAGCATTTTAAAGAGTTATCATATGGCTGCTATACTAGACCCCTCACCAGTTTTAATAATATATGCTGATTTATAGGTTCACTCACAGTCTGGATTAGAATTATTAATTTTTTCACCAGTTTTTATCTTTTTGTTTACAACTGTTTTAAGTTAGTTTCCAGTAGGTTTCCTCATTTCATTTCATTGTTTTTATCTTCAAAAATGTTCAGTTTTACTTTACGTTTGTTATTATGATATGGTTGTTACTTTTTGGATTGTTGTTAACTACTAAAAAATAATATAATACAAAAATACAAACACGTTGACAAACGTACCTCTCAGCCGTAAAAGGCTGATGGGGTATTGTTTTTCAGTTTAATAAAATGTGTTTTTCCACACATGTTTTTTTTCTATTTATTTTAGTTAACTATAATTTCCTAGATAGGCTGCTTGAAGTTAGTTGTAGTGGGGCAAATTTGTCAGTATTGATTAGTCTTCTGATTATCTTCCTGATCAATCATATTGCCATTAAAGTGCAAAAGAAACAGGTAAAGCAGTAGTAAAGTAAATTTTTGTTTTCATTTCTTTGTCTGTGTAACCATCAAAATGAAAACATAATCTCTGGACTATATTATGAGCACCAAGTGTTTAGATTTAAGAAGCAACAGTGAGGTCAAAAATAGCTGCAGATTGATTTGTTGTCAGTAGACTAAAGGGATAATCTACTGTTTGTTGAAGCACCTCTGATGACTCGGATGCTGATCCTGAAAAAAAAGAGAAAACAGATCATTCTATTAAAAGATTGTAATCACGCTGCGTCTTTTTGAGCAATCATGTTTTTCCTGGTATTCATTCATCATTCATCTTCACCAAAGTCGGATGAGCCGCTATGACTTCGGAGATGTGTCGTGACTTCACAGAGACCATGAGCCATGCTGTCGGTTTGATATATCACTAGAGACACTTTGTACTCATGCATGGCCATCTTGATCACATAACATTATAAATACTCCACTCTACAGCACAGCATTGCTCACAGGATCAAAATCTGCTCCGCTTATGATTAATAACTGCATACAAGCTACAGATAGTCCATCTGTTATGAATCAGTTACAGCAGTCTGGTCAGGGGGAGGAAAGACGCAGTGACTTTATGCATCGTGATTGCCACTTGATGTTTCATATCTTCAAAGGCAGCGTGAGTAAATTGAGAGGCTTAATTGAAACGTTCATGGCATGTACACTTTAGCTTATCTTTGTGGGCAGATTTAAAAGTCACAGGGCTTGTGTGTACTTTGAGATCTGTGTTTGCATTTTGTGTAGTGTATGGTTCCGTTCAGAGCCTTTTGTTTGCGCCTACTATCGGGGCGGAGGAGCGTGGGAGTGGGGGCTATAGGGGGACATTGAAAAGAGCTGCTCAGACAGAGAAATTATCAGATGGAAAGGACCTGCCAAAGAATATCCTGCTCTCACTGACAGACAGATGGCAAGGCAGTAGGAACCTACTGGATGCAAGAACAGAACAAGTCTGCATGGGACTCCATCAACAGGCCAAGCCGGACTAATTTGTCATGGTTACAACAGGTAATGGAGAAACCAGATTTTACTGTTAGGATTAGACAGAAAAGAAACTCAAATAATAATTAAGTTGGGAGATGTGAAGAAAAATGCTTTTAGATGATTATTGTTTCTTAGTCTGACTTTATGTTGTTTTGTACACTTTGTAAAATTATCTGTATAGTGTGCAATATGAGGTCATGTACTGATACTGCTGTTACTCAATCTCTCCTTGTACACAACTGGCTTATTATATATCGCGCATTACCTTTTGAGGACATGGTAACATAATAGAAGGGCGGCTTTATTTAAAGACTTGGAAATCAGTGATAGTGCAGGGTAAAGTTTTATTGGCTAGCCCAGTAACCAAAGGGAAGAAATTGTAAATCATTAGTTTCGTTTTTTTTATCTTTCCATTTAATCATTCTGTCGGTGGAAAAACACACACTTCTTATCTGTATGTTTTCAGTCAGACTATTAAGTTCATTTAGTATTATTCAGTTGCTATAGCCAGTAATACAAACAAAAGATACACCATTAACAATAACAGAATCAGTTTTACCGGACGTATCGGTGATTGTGATTTGGTTGGCTAAAGCAAGTTCAGAGGCAGAGTGTGAAAGCGTCATCTGCCATGTCTTAATAAAAACAAACGAACTTTTTCTTATACATGTAAGAAAAACCGACTAAAAAACTGCACATTGGCTTCTTTTGTTACAAACTGTTGAGTGGTGTGTTTCTTGTTTGCATGCAGTAGTTGCACTTGGATTAATGCTGCATTTTTCTTGCATTTAGAAAGTTTGGGCACAGCACTACATTTTTTATTTTTTTTTATCACCAGGATTTTTAACCAGTTTAAGTGGTATCATTGAATCAATCTTAAAATTTATTTAAGCGGCAGACTTCTGTTAAGTAAGGCACCACTCACGATATGTAACCCAATCAAAAACCCTCAGTGCTTTTTGCCATTTGCAAAATAGCAGCCGACAGGGACCATTGCAACTCTCAGCAGAACCTGCTCTAAAAATGTCATGCAAGTATTTTTTGACTGGATGTTGTCTCTTTTGGTCATTCTTGGTAGAGTTTTTGACTCATCAGTGCTCAACGTGGCGCTGCACATATCCAGAGGGGACAGAGCGCAGATGTGTTACATCAGAGGCTTGTGAATGAAGTAATAGAACAGGACTAGGCTCAGCACCGCACAGCTTGGTAAATGGCACTGCTGAAATAGCCCTCTGTTTGTGTGTTTCTAAAGTCATGATCAAACAGCTACTTGCAAAAGAGCCATAAAATGGGAATGTTTTAGAAAAGCTTCCTGAGTTTCTGTACGATAACTGCAGATAACCATATACTGGGGTTACTGCCTTTAGATTTATGGTTGTATATTTACAGGGCATTTGGAACATGTGCGTGTACCCCATCTTTGTATAAAAGAAGAAAGGCACTACTACACACTACTATCACATTTCTGTAGCCTGTTCTTGATTTCAGTCATACAGTTTCATCCACCAGAACAGAAATCTTGCTAAAAAAAATCACCCTTTAAATTAGTTTATAAATGTAAACAAATGGATATTTCAATGATCTGTGACAATGTGTGTAAATAAAAGACAAAACAGGGCTAATATCAGACAGAACGTGTTTTATCAAAGTGTAGCATATGTCAATAGTTTGGCATGTGCATCTGTTCAAACAGGGACCCTACTTTGGTGAAATACCTGCAGAGGCATTTGCACAGAGAGGCATAATTTGAGATTTTCCTGTAATACCTTTATACCCCACATACTTCCAAATTGGCTCTTGTCTCGGTAACTGTAGGTTGCATGTGAGAGTTGGCACCTGCTTGTAATTAAAGCACTTGCTAATGCTTTCGTGGTGCGCAGACTGCTGGTGGTACTGGTAGGGTGAGAGGGTGGAGAATCTACCATCTGTGTCCCATAGTGCCAGGTCACCTGCTGAGCATCTTCATTCCCCTAACCTTTTATTTGCATAGGAATCCACATAAATACAGCTGGGAAACAGATTTGTGCCACTGTAGCTTAGCTTAAGCTCTCTTGCTGTGTTTATAATTATTTATATTGGTGCTAACTGCTTGGCAGCCATGTGCATAGAACATGCCAATGCAAGACAGCTGCATATACTGAATGTGCAGTTCTGGGCCTGAGAAAAGGAACTGGAATCCCATAGAAGTACTTCTCATCTCTGTTTTGTCAACTATTCAAGAATTACCTTGTGTTGGGTAAAGACATGCAGTGATTACTGGCTGTCACCTGGATGATTTTTATGAGGCAATTGATTAGAGGTGGAGTGCTCATGCATTTTACAAGCAGTTGTGTGATGGTGTGTGCGGGCTTTTTGGTCGTGTGGGGGTTGGGCGCTGATATAAAGCAGCTTTGTGCCTTGTGAACTTGAGCCACAAGTGCCAGCTGGCAGACTGTTATGCAATCGCAACAGAGATGTACACATGCAATACATGCTGCTTATGGACATATTGTTCAATCTCCAGAAAACAACAACAAAAAACGTGACACCCACGCCTCACTGTTAGCCCAGGGCACTTTATTCTGACTCTACTGGTCCCACACACAGGCACACCCACCACCAGATTGATTGTAACAGTCTGAGGACAAGATGGGTTGTAATACGAGGCTGAGGGAGATTATTGCTCCCGTCTTCACCTCCCAGTCCTAACTGCCCCGGATTGACAGCTAAGCTTATGCCAATGACCTGATTTCCTGCTTGTTTGGTAGAAAAATACTCTGGATGTGCTGGCGCTGATGCAGATCCTGTAAGATCTTGGTGTAATGAGGGCATGAACTGGTCTGAGATAGTGATCTGTAGATTGCGTAGCCCCTAATCAGATTGTGACAACTGCTGTATTAGTAATTTGTGACGGCAGGGAGTCTCGCAGAGTGTGTGGGCCGGTTTGTGACGTAATGTTTCCAACGCAGCGTGTGTTCATAAATAATATGGTTATGCACAGTGGAAGTGTCTGCATTAATGTGGCCTAATCCTAATAAAAGTCTGGCTTAATTAAATGTTTAATATGTTTTAATGGTCACAGTGAAAAAAATCTTACGGATACATCTGAAATCAGGTTAAAAACTTTGTATTTTACACCTGGTCACTCGAAGATCCAGGAGAACACTTGGAGTTGTGTTTACCAAGATTTTTGACATTAGTTCAGTTTTGCCTCGGGAACTCCTCTGTCTCCACAGGAAGATTTGTGTGCACTGCAAGTGTGTACGAGAAGAGCATGCTGTGCGCCCGGTGCCAGGGCAGCTGGAAAAGATGATGACAAAGCTAGTATCTGACTTCCAGAGACACTCCATCTCTGATGACGACTCAGGCTGCGCCTCCGAGGAGTATGCATGGGTTCCACCTGGGCTCAAGCCTGAACAGGTAACAATCAGGGTGCACAGGAGAAGTCGAGACATAAATTAATGCTGTGCAGGCCTACGTGATGCTCATTTACTTGGACATGTTCGTGCATAGACTGGTTGTAAATTAAATTGCTCTATATTTGGATAAGTGGGTGTTTATATTCTCTATATGAGCATAATTGTCTTGTCATTCAGGTTTACCAATATTTTAGCTGCTTACCAGAGGACAGGGTGCCTTATGTGAACAGTCCAGGAGAGAGATACCGAATCAAACAGCTGCTGCACCAGCTTCCAGCCCACGACAGTGAGGTAACATCTCTGCGACTCTGACTTTGGATGCTTTAGACTTGAATGTAGGGGTGATGTGCCTTTTTTAGTTTAAAAAAGCAACAAAGAAAATCAACAACCAGCCTTATTTCTTTTTATTAAGCTTCTTTCTTTTAATTTTTCTTTTTTGGGTGATTGGTAGGTAAAGAGGAAATTCACAACTTTTGGAAAAAATAAATTATATTTTAATCTCTTCCTATAGTCATTTTTGAAGCCAGTTTTACAATAAAATAGTCTGTTAATCCTTAATAATGGTCCTTTCTGCTTCAATTATACAACAAATATATTAAAGAAAAGAATGAAAAGGTTTCACAGCTGCAACAAATGAATGTCAGCTTTAACAGAGAAAGATATTTCTTGAAAATAAATACAGGGGACATGGATAAATAAATAAATAATAAATAAATAATTTCCCCCAGGGATCAATAAAGTATTCTGATTCTGATTCTGATAACGCAGACTCCTACTTGCTATCTTTTGGTTTGGGATGAGAGTTTTACACTTTACTGTCATTAAAATAATTGACAGATAAATTGTTAATGACAGTCTTCATACATACATACTTTAGGTCTAGTTGTTTGAATGCTGATGTGAGTTTCTGTGTCTTTTTCAGCCCCAGTACTGTAATTCTCTGGACGAGGAGGAGAAAAAGGAGCTGTGTCTGTTCAGTCAGCAGAGAAAAAGAGAAAACCTGGGCCGGGGTGTTGTAAGACTTTTCCCAGTAACTATGACTGGAGCAATCTGCCAGCAGGTAGAGATTTTTTTTCCTGTTGAGGTCGACATAAAGTTATAAACCTCACATATGAAAGCATAAAAAGAGCACGTCCAAGTCATGAAGAATGAAGTCAGTGTAGGTGCAAGTAGATACAGGCACAGCTCAGGGGCCACATGATTACAGGGCTGTGGAAGTAAATTGCTGTGCAACCTGGAGCATTTACCATTTTGTCAAAGGATATACCACCTAACTTGCTTCCCTCTGCACCACCCCACACCCATCTATTTTTCCAGTGTGGCAGACAGATCTGCGGGGGTGATATAGCCGTGTTTGCGAGTCGGGCAGGACACGGCAGCTGTTGGCATCCTCAATGTTTCCAGTGTGCCTCCTGCAGCGAACTGCTGGTCGATCTGATCTACTTCTACCAGGATGGACAGATATACTGCGGTCGGCACCACGCTGAAAGGCTTAAGCCCCGCTGCCAGGCCTGCGATGAGGTGACTGTCTCCCCAAAATCCTCTTGCTTTTTTTTTTTTTTGTTTTAATATAAAATCTCAGCAACAACAGTATTAAATGTTTTTAAATGTTTCCCACAGTAATGTATTTTATTTGTATACATGAGTGCATGCAAAAGGGGGAGTGTGCACACTTGTGTTATTAAAGAATTATATATATGAGGTGTACAAGGAAGAGTAGACTTACTTTAACAAACAATAACTGCTTCTCCACGGCCACACGCCAGCTCTATCATCCTGGAGAGAAGTTGCTGATGATAGTCTTTGTTCGTGTCCAAAGCCTGCGTGAGCTCAGTGTTGGTGCACCACCTGCTGCTACTTCTGGTTAGAGTGGCCCGCTAGCTAACAGCGAATCTATAGAGGAGAACAAGAGCTACAGTAACAGCTGCAGCCCAAGATGGTGGAGTTTGAGTCCCTCCCCAGGCAGCTGAATGAGAATGAGCCAGCAAGTCAGCATAACGTCATAAAACATGACGTGAATGGGTGAAACATTAGTGAGTTAGCAATGACTGAATTTTCATAGTGAGGGCATTAGTCAATTAGTCACAGGTGGCATTGTTCTCTAACACAAATAAAAAATGCCAAGTTGCTAAATGCACTTGGGAGGCTATTAGTACAACTGGGAACTTACACAAAATAGTTTGTTGATGTTTTTTTGCAGGTTTGTGGAAGTAAACTACAGTAGGAGAGAAAAACATAGTTATGTTCTTAATTTTTTTGGACAGAACACAATTTTTGTATTTTTTCTCATCTGTACAGCACCACAGTGGATTGTAAATAAAACAGTTAGTATGTGATTTAAGTGCAGACGTTCAGCTTTAATTAGAGGGGTTTAACAAAGAAATTTATGTTAATTTTTTTGGAATCACACACATTTTTTACATTCTCCCCACTTTCAGAGGCTCAACATTCATTTTAATTTTAAATATGAATATTTGTTTCTATACTTGGATAAAGTGTAAAAAAAATGATTGCCTTTGGGGAATCAATGGACATACCAAATTCTGTTTCCTGCTTTTAGATTCACTGGCAGGCTTTTACTGCTGCTGCCTTCAGTTGCTGCTTATTTGTGGGTCTCTGAATTTAGTTTTGTATTTAATAACTGAAAATCATGGTCTGTTGGGCTGGCATCAGGTGACTTGATTTCATGTGTCCATTTTTTTTTTCCCCGGATTTTTTTTTTTTTTTTTTTTATGCTTTCTTGCAACATCTAATCTGGCCTTCTTGTTCTCGATGGTTACCATTGTTTTGGAAACTCTGTGTTTCCATTCATAAAGGTTTCTCTTAATTGTAGACTTTGATGTACCCATGTCCTTGATTTGCTTGGCTGGATGTTATGCAGGTGTTTTTCTTAACCATGGAAATAATTCTCATAAGTCATTATGCAGTTTAGTTGTCTTCTGTGGCGGAGCAGGTTGTTGATTTGGCCACTCGTTATGATGGCCTTCCTCACTTGCATTGACATCTCTTTGGGCCTCATAAGTAAATTTATAGTGAAAAGCTAAAGTACAAATTCAAGACTTTGAATCAGCTTCAGATATTATGTCTGCTTCATTTGTCATTAAATAATAAGGGCCATAAGTGTGCATGACTTCAGAACATCCAGTTCAAATATCTTTCCTTTCTCATGTAGCCATTCCCAGATTGGCTATTGTTGTATTTTAGCGTTTCCCAGAACCAGTGCATGCTATTTGTGGAATTTTCTGTTGGTGTCTTCTGGTTTTGAATAGCTCATCGCTGTGACTTAAGGGATTAGTTGAGATAGTTGACAAATGGATCTACCACAACTGACCTACAACTGGTGGTTAGACCCAGGGAGTGGCTAAGCCTACAAACAGAACGGCACTGATTGGATATTTTGTACTCTGTTTTGTTAACCTAGTTCTTCAGTCTTCTAAAGTTTACTTACTTCTGTACCTGTGAAATTACCTCTCTGTCTCTCACTTTCTTTTAAACCTAGATTATTCTAGCAGATGAGTGTACGGAGGCTGAAGGAAGATATTGGCACATGAAGCACTTCTGCTGTTTTGAATGTGAGGCTGCTCTGGGCGGCCAGCGTTACATCATGAGAGAGAGTCGACCGTACTGCTGCTCCTGCTACGAGTCGCTGTACGCAGAGTACTGTGATACCTGTGGAGAACACATAGGTACTGAACTAAGTTTAATGAATTAAGTTTTTAGTGAAGCCATGTTTTCACATTATTAGCCTAATTTGTATATACCAGCAATGTAAGTGTTTATTTGTCTTTAATCATTCCATCTTTTTGACGTCACTATTTTATAATATTGCATAGTTTTACCATGTTCTTATTCATCATCAGAGCCTACAAAAGGACTTATAATAATTTACTAATATATCAAGAAGAGCAGCTAGAGACTGCACACCTCCACCATGCCTGGAAATTAAAAAATCAGCATGCATGAATTAATTTAAAAAATCTGGATCTGGATTAGTTTGCAATACTTGCCTGAGAGCATGAAGATGATGTCTGCCTTTTTAAAATTGTGAATCATTTTAATAACAGCTCTGCATCATTGTAATGTGATCTCCTGTATGCTAAAGAGACCCTTTGTCTTTTTCATGTAGGATGTAGTGCTGAGTGAGAAAGGTGTTAGCTGTGATGAAGCAAAGACACGTCGTGATACTTTAAGCAAACTTTTACATGTATCCCGTAAGCAGATATTCTGATGATGGTATATTCTTACAAAGAAGCCTGTAATACACCATATTCGTTCTCTAAGGGCACATCACTCGCATCACTAACGTCAGAGTTCTAAAAAGTAACTACTGAGCGATAGTATAACGTGTTATGCATTGCTTTTAAATGTGTTCTGAGGTAATAAAGATTGATTTTAAAATTCCACAGCTGACACACAAATATTTCCTCAGGTATCGACCAGGGTCAGATGACATACGACGGTCAGCACTGGCACGCTGTGGACTCGTGTTTCTGCTGCGCCCGCTGTCAGCTACCTCTCCTGGGGCGTCCCTTCCTCCCTCGCAGGGGCCTTATTTTCTGTTCCAGGTCCTGCTCTCTGGGAGAAGACCCCAATAACTCGGATTCCTGCGACTCTGCTCTGCAGACTAGATCGCCTCACCATAACAGACGGTATGGGACAGCAGAGAAACACCACAAGCTACAGTGTGGTTCTCCACTGCAGCCACTAGAGGGCATCAACCCCATTATGGCTCCTGCAAAAGACTGCATTCATACTGCAGTGGAAACCAGAGGTGAATAACGGTGGAGCTGTTGTGCAGTGAGTTCACATGGATTATGTTTTTGTGCTTATTGTAACACATTTATTTTCTCTGCTTCTCTCAGGTGTCCACTGCACGGCTCCAGTTCAGAATGGAGTTCCTTTACCCAGTCATCATCCTCGTCAAAGAGGCTCGTACTCACCTCTTCCACACATTCATTTAGGGAATGGCTTAGGTCCTTCTTGGCCCAGTGACATTCCACATTACAGTTTACTTCCAGGGAACTGTGCTATCAAACTTCCAGGCAGTAGTCCCCAGCCTGAAGGAGAGCTAAATGGAAGTACTGGACTAAGTGGTCTTAATTCAAGAGGAACCTCTACTGAAATTGACTGTAGGACTTGGGTGGAAAAGACAAATAAAGTTATGCAAGGTATCAGAAACCACTGATACTGGCATGACTATTATATGCTTCTTATAACCCTTTTTTCATTGTCTCTTAACTACAATATGTCTTCTATTTTTCTCTCTTCAGCAAATCCTCCTCAAAAGAACTCTCATGTGAACAAACTCATTTCCCCTGACTCGCCTCCTCTTCCTCTGGACAACCCCTCGGTCCTCCCACCTCCCCTGCCCGTGAAGTCTCGTGACTTGTTGCCCCGGGATTCACCTTCACCAAAACTCCAGCAACCAGAGGACAGACCCTGTGACTCTCCACCCCCGCTGACTCGCAGCAACACAGCCAGAGTCAGCTTCAGAGAGCCAATCAGCAGCAGCTACTCTATGGACGAGGATGAGGATGAAGATGAGAATAAGGAGGGGCTGCAAGAGGGTGAGGAAAACCAGGAGGATGAAGATGAGGGGGAGGGAGGTTTCGGAAGCAGGTTACATCTGAAGAAAGGCGTCCCCCCACACATGGATCTGCTGGGTATGTCTTCAGGCACTTTGAATATTAACTCATTCAAATGAAGTTTTCTTTTGTGTGTGTTTCTCATAGTTACTCATTCTTTTTATTCCAGATGGATCCTCGTACCAGCAACGCCATTTAAGGCGAGGTTGGGGTCGTTCCCGCATCCCTTCAGACCCTGCTCTACACCAGGGGTCAGAGAGGCGATCTCGACGCTCGCAATCCGACAGGCCCAGGTTGGACTCCCTAGACTGGAGAGGCGAGAAAGACAGAGACAGCCGAGGCGGCTCCAGTGGCTCTTCTCTGACTCTCCATCCGGGACAATACAAACACGAAGACTGCTGTTCTACCTGCTCTTCATCCTCAGACTCAGAGGAAGAGGGCTACTTCCTGGGACAGCCCATTCCTCTACCCCCGCAACTTCGAAAGCAGCCACCCGAGGAGGGCAAAGACGTAGGCGGAGAGGAGGGGAAGGAGGGGCAGAGGGACTTTGGCCTGAGGGGCAGCATAAGGCGGAGAAGAGCTCACAGCCTGGGTGCAAAGGACAAAGATAAAAACTGTGCTATTTCCTAACCACAAACAGCTAACCACGTTAAAAACACAGCATGTTATTTTTTTAGATTATGGTGCACAAGAAAAAACGAATGACCATCATCATTCTGATGTTTATCGGCTTTGTGACAGCGATGTAATGTCAGATCCAGATGACATGTTTAGACTTATCCAAGGGTGAACCACAGCCAAAGTTCCTGACTTAGCAAAGGGAAGCAAAATAAACCTGAGAGAAGTCACTGCCTCCCGTTGACGCCTCATTTTGAGGTGAATGAGTCATGCAGGCAGTGATAAATGGAGCAATGTGGAGTCATTATTTGTTACACACCTTTGTAAGTTTGCTCATACTTGTTTGAACTGAACTTTTAAACACTACCATAACACACAGTAACACATGTAACCTGGGGCCAGTTTTACAGACAAGCTCTCACTGTTGTTTAGATGTGCCTAAATGATACAGTGTAAATTAAAGTCGAGCTGATGTATAAAGCTGAGGGGCCATCTCAAACTGCACAGCTAACTGCAGAAAGCGTTTTCTCTTCTGGAAAAAATGGAAGATACAAAGGATGATTACTTTAAATACAACACACAAGTCAAGCTCAGGATGCAACCATCAACTCGCTGTGTTTTCTGTTTTGAAGAACCCACAATATTAGAGTGAGTCCAAGGTTCCCATATGAGCAGGCACTTGACAACAGCGAGGAGGAAGAAATCATAACCAGGATCAGGGTGGAGCAGTTGTGTGGTGCAACCAGTTTGAGGTGTAAGATGAAAGAGAAGAGGAAAAAGAGGGTTGTAGAGAGGTGAAGACCAACAAACAATAGAAAACACAAACAGAGCGCGGTTAAAAGTTAATGACATGCGACAATGGCTTATAAACATGAGGGGAGTGGAGAAGAAATGGTAATGCTCATGTAAAGTCCCTGAGGGAAGTCCTGATGTATGGTTCTGGATTAACCAGTTCAGCTTTAATTACAAATGTAGAGAGGGTGTCTGTCTCCTGAGCCCTCTCACTCCTGGAGGCTGCATCTAAGTTATATCCAACTGACTTAAGAGCAAAGTTAAGATGGGACAAAGACTGCAGACCAGGCAAAAATATCTGTTAAACTGGCTCCAGCACATTTTGTAAAAAGAATATATTTTTATGTCTGACTTACTGTAACCACTTTCCTGTGCTCTTATGTGCAATCTGTATGTGGCTGTAAAATACTACAGTTATACTTACACTGAATAGCCCAGTAGTTTGGAGGTGACGTTTAATGACTTCAGCAAACTGTGGTTGTTTCAGACTTTGAAAATCAAAAGTGTAATTTGTGTGAGTTTTTGGAGGTCGCTTATCTTTTTTTTGTATAGTTCAAATGAAACGCTGCAAAATCTGTAAACGTTCTTAAAGTCTATACTCACTCGTCATTGGAGTGTCATTTATTTTTCTATGCTTGGTGTAGGTCACTGTTGTTGCTGGTTTTATTTGGGGCAAAAGCAAAAGTCTGTAACACCCTTGTGTTTCTCTGACTGTATGCTGCATATATGAGTAAATTTGTTTAACTTGTTTGCCTAAATGTGTGTACAGTCTCAGCACCGACCTTTGAACAGCAGGAACTGTCTGGATATAATGTAGAGGAATCATGGAGGGATTGGAAAAGTACATGTTTTGTGTTTTTCAACTACTAGTGAGAAATACTTCATTTTTTTATTTATTTATTTTTAAGCAACTTTCGACTTAACCTTTGTAACAGTTTCAGTACGTATTGGTGCTTTGCTTGCAGTTTCCTTGCTCCACTCTTGGATTCTGGGAAACTGTGCTTATCACTTTTTTGAGAGCAGATGACAATGATAGGGTCACATGACCAAAAAAAGCAAGCCTGTGTTTTTCCTTGTAAGAGACTGATTGGACAAATCAAAAGAAGGGGGTGGGCTCAGGAGCAGCACACATGAGTTGTCAAACAGGTTTGTCCTGTGTGATTTGAAATACACGAACACACGAAGGAGAAACCCAGGTGAGACTGAGGAACTCAAGGCAACCTGTGAAGGTGAGTTTCCTCTTGATAGAAAGAAAAGCTTTCTTTACTAACTTGTACCTTCAGAAAGGCTGGGTGTGAGTTTGGCAGGGCAAGACTAGTGTGTAAGCCATTTTGTTTACCTGCCCTTCCCGGGTGTCTGTGCTTGGCTTCCTGCTTCACTCCCTTTGTCAGACGAACGTGCCAGCACTTGACTCGGAAACATCAAATTAGAGGATCTAATTCTGCTTGTCTGACTAAACTCCTGAAATTCCCATTGTGTTTGTAAGCCGGCCGGTTGTTTTAATGAGATACTGTAGAAAAATTGAGGATCATTTTGGGGGGAACTGGAGACATAAAAACAGTTAAGCCTGGAGCTCTACTAAAACTTTCATAACTATGTCAGCAGGAGTTTAGCCCGGCTTAGGCTGGAATGGCAAATATGTAGAGAATTTGACTGTTGGATGCAGACTGTTCAAGCAGCATAGTCCATATGCACCTACAGGATCTTAAGTATGCACAGAAGAAGTCTGACCTTCACTATTTATGGACTTAAAATAGTAGGCTCCTTCTTTCTTTCTTTTTTTTCTCAACATTAATTACTCCACAGAAGCTTGTAGTTGGCAACAGGCTGCTATATTTAAAGATGAAGAGTCATTGTTCCCCTAGCAGCTGTTGGTGTGTGTGATCTGCTCTGTATTCCCTCCAGACAATAGCTTGTTGACAGCTGTCCTGATCCACCTCCCCATCACCCCTCACACACACACACTTGTATCACTCTTTTCACAGCCTTTCTACTGACTGAAAATGAGGTTTTATTGTGTGTTTGTCTGCGGAGAGATGGATGACTGCGAGTAATTGTTCGGATCTCTCTGAGATGGCAGCCAATGAACTTGTTAGAAGCATGGGGCTTCAGGAGAGCGATTGGCTGCAGTTTGAAATAAGTGGGAGGGTTTGTGGTTGTAGAGTCTTTGTGAAGTTTTGTAGCTCCACACAAGTTTCTGCTTGTGTTTGAAGGTAAATGTTTTCTATTCACTGGTCTTTTATTTTGTTAAGCTGCTTTTCTTCTCATTTGACTGACACTGTTTTTTTCGCAGGAAGTCCAAATGTCAAGGAGCTAGAGATCAGGTGACTTGCCGAGGTTGTGTCACTTCAAATATGCCATTAAGGTGATCATGAGAGAACCATACGGCCACATAAACAGAGGATAACAGTGAGGACTAAACAGATTGAATTCCAAGGTGGCTCGGGAAGTGGACAAGGTACGACTGCCTGGCCACAAAATGCCTGTGGAAACGCTTCAACACTCCGTGAGGCAACCAACAAAGACTGCTGTTGCTCCTACACCCCCACGCTTGCGACCCAAGGGGCCAGTGGGGCTAGATTTCTACCAGAAGTACCAAAAAGCTGCGAGCAGACCAAAGCAGAGTGCTGTGGAAAGGCTGGAGGCAGACAAGGCTAAATATGTCAAGAGTCAGGTAGCTCTTACCAAGCAGCAGCCAGTCAGGCCTCCTGAAGTGCGTAAGCCTCTACTCAGCCCCAGCTCTGCCCTGTGGCCCACCAGAAAGACTGCAGACCCAGCAAAGACAAAGCAGGAAGGATTACAGCTGGACATGGAGCACCTGAGTAACCTCATCAGTGGAGTGAATGAAGCGCCACGGTCCGGTGCAACTGCAAAGCCAAACGACAGTAAACCTCCTTACTGTGCTGCAGCTGTACACAATTTTCCCCGTCCCACTCCTGCAGGGGCACAGCAGAAAAAGGAGAAGCCGTGTCCGCCTCCACGTCCTGATAGGTTAGTTGCAGCTAAAGTAAGATTAAAAGCATCTGACCCTGCCAACGTAGAGAGCACGAGCTCTCCTGGGCCTCCAGCTGCAGCGACGGTACGGAGAGTGGATGTCATGCCTCAGGCCAGCCCTGTGAGGACAGCAGGCAGACGACCTCAGTTAATTCGACAGCCCCTTCAGCCAATATCTCTACAGTCTCAGTTTCGACCCGGCCCAACTGCTTCAAACCTGCATCTCTTTCTCCCTAGAACAACACCAGGTCATTCTCCTCTGAAACCTGTTATTGCTCAGTCAAAACCTGATACCTCTTCTACTTCTCCAGCCGAGACCCCAGTTCCTGCCACACCTACACCAAGCTACCCTGTTATACCTCCTCCTTCCCCAGCAATTACCCGTTTGTCTTCCACCAGCTCCAGGAAACGCCCTTCTCTAACCCGGTCTAAGTCGGACATGAGCGACAGGTACTCCCGAGCTGGGACAGAGCTGGAGCGCTTCTTCAACCTGTGCGGCTTGGACCCGGCAGATGTGCAGGAGCTGACTGGTTCTAGCTCTGACATTGTTTCCATGGCTCGTTTTCGCAGCGCGAGCGCTCCAGGGTCCGAGTGCGCGGCCTCTGGCAGAGAAGACGAGGATGAAGAGGAGGAGGAGGAGGCTGGCAAAGCTGCAAATCGTGTTTCCTACGGTGTTTCTGTCATTGAGAGAAATGCACGAGTGATCAAGTGGCTCTATGGAATCAAGCAGGCAAAGGACAACTCGACAAAGAGCACCAATTTATAGGCTGGTTCAAGTCATTTATAAGCTTTGTATTAAAAATAAAAATGCCAACTTTAATATTTTTTAAGAACTAACTTGGATAAGACATTGACTGATGGAGCTCCATTACTAACCTGTTATTACACTGAAGAGTGTTTATTAATGGGAAAGTATAGTGAGTTTGTTATATCTCTTCTTTTTCACCATACTTAGAAAATGTGAGCCACAATCTTTGTTCTGAAGGTTTTTCTTGTGCTATTTTGACTTTTCAATGCTGTATTACTTTTGTGTGTCACAGCCAGGCTGTCTGGCAAAGATGTGACATTTTCATTTAAAAAAATCACTTTGTGCTGTAAATGGCTGCCATTAAAGAGAAAATGCTGCATGAAAGTTGTTTGGTTCTCCCTGTTATGTAGAGAATACAATGCAGATACACATCTGCAGGTGATGTATGAACAATAATTTAATGGAAAAAAGTGAGATTTCAAACAATTGGTGCACAGTTGGCTTCTAACACTAGTATTGCCCTCCCTTGGCAGACAACCATTTAGCAGACCCTTGGCATGGTTGTCCACCACCTCTGAAAACTCCTCTGATGCAAAAGCCCTTCAGTCTTCAGTTTAAAAGGTTTGAATCTTCCATCTCTGATTTCAAAGCAATTCCTACCCAAAGGTATTTTGATATGTAGAATTCGCAGTTGTGTGAATAAACAAAAGGCATTAAAAACTATCTTCTACAAAAATGTCATTACTCTGCACCAATACATGAGTGGTATTGATTTCTGTCCTGAGATTATTTCACATTTGTGTCTGTTCTGCGGCAAGCTTTGGTTTTGGCTTGAAGCTTGTTTCCACCACTGAAACCTCTTTTTTTCTGCCATGAATAAATCAAAAAAAAATTCAGGTTATTTAAAATTTTGACATCATAATTCATAATTTAAGGGTGTTTTCTCAATTTCTACTTATTTTCTCCCAAGTTTAGTGAATCAAAATTGTGACATCAAAACCCCAAACTTTGACTTATGGATGGTAAAAAAAAAAAAAAATGTTTCTTTCAGTTGCCAAAACAAATTTTCACAAGAAAGATCTGAAGAACTCTGACTAGTACTGGAAGAAGAAAAAATTATATTTGCTGATTTTCCACTGAACCGAGACAAATGTTAGGACTCATCTCTGTGGAGGAATCAATAACAATAACCACATTTGGTGCAGACCAATATAGACATTTGTTTCCACTATTGTAAAACATATTTTGACAAGTCAAATTTGGGGGTTGTAATCTCAAAATTTCTTATTATTATCTCAAAATGTTGGCTTACTAACTCAAACTAATGAAAAAATAAATAAAAAATGATGAGAATTAGTTTGAAATTTTGCCTTATTGTGGTAAATTTCTTTTCCAGTGATATAAACCACCTGACCTGACTAAGATTGTAAATATGGCTTTTACGTTGATACCCATATTTACAATCTTACCTGCATTTCACTGAAGCTCCACAAGAGGTCACAGCCACCCACACTACCTCACTCCAATACAGCACATCAGTACAGAAGTATACTGCAGTTACTGACAATGTGGTGAAAGCGGTGGCCTTTTTCCAGAGTCAGAGAAACTCTCACTGCAGCTGTGGAAATACAGTTCTGTCATTTTAATTTTAATATTTTTAAAATATGTTCCACAAGTTTGAAGTTTCAAACAGATCTGCAGCACTGGTAGTTCTTATGCTTTGCTGTTGAGCCACCTCATTTATTGTTAAGTCTGAGCAGCTGTACTGAATAAGAATACCCCTCTTCAAAACACAAAAGAGTTGTTGAACCAGAATCTGGTTTCAAACGGGTGGCATTCACCTGTGTGTGCAGGGACAGCGTTACATGTCCAGTGATACTCAAATGTTAACAATGAATTGCCTTAAGAGTTTTTCAGAGCACTTCCAGACATTTAAAAGGATTTTATTCAAGCAAAACACAAACAGGAACCCGTGCAGGAAAGATCAGCAGGGGGTAAGGACCGTTTCTCTTTATT